AATATTAACTCACTCACTCACTTTATTGCTATAATCACTGCTCTGGTGTTTCGTTAGCTTTGCATTTGTACTATAATTTTCTTGTAACATTGATATAAATTAAATTGTTCTCGTCACGATATGGCTGAATATTGCCGATGTGACGTTAAATATTAACTCACTCACTCACTTTATTGCTATAATCACTGCTCTGGTGTTTCGTTAGCTTTGCATTTGTGCTGCCAATCTTCTTGTAATATTGATATAAATTAAATTGTTCTCGTCACGATATGGCTGGATATTGCCGATGTGATTTTAAATATTAACTCACTCACTCACTTTATTGCTATAATCACTGCTCTGGTGTTTCGTTAGCTTTGCATTTGTACTGCCAATCTTCTTGTAATATTGATATAAATTAAATTGTTCTCGTCACGATATGGCTGAATATTGCCGATGTGACGTTAAATATTAACTCACTCACTCACTTTATTGCTATAATCACTGCTCTGGTGTTTCGTTAGCTTTGCATTTGTGCTGCCAATCTTCTTGTAATATTGATATAAATTAAATTGTTCTCGTCACGATATGGCTGGATATTGCCGATGTGATTTTAAATATTAACTCACTCACTCACTTTATTGCTATAATCACTGCTCTGGTGTTTCGTTAGCTTTGCATTTGTACTGCCAATCTTCTTGTAATATTGATATAAATTAAATTGTTCTCGTCACGATATGACTGAATATTGCCGATGTGACGTTAAATATTAACTCACTCACTCACTTTATTGCTATAATCACTGCTCTGGTGTTTCGTTAGCTTTGCATTTGTACTGCCAATCTTCTTGTAATATTGATATAAATTAAATTGTTCTCGTCACGATATGGCTGAATATTGCCGATGTGACGTTAAATATTAACTCACTCACTCACTTTATTGCTATAATCACTGCTCTGGTGTTTCGTTAGCTTTGCATTTGTACTGCCAATCTTCTTGTAATATTGATATAAATTAAATTGTTCTCGTCACGATATGGCTGAATATTGCCGATGTGACGTTAAATATTAACTCACTAACTCACTTTATTGCTATAATCACTGCTCTGGTGTTTCGTTAGCTTTGCATTTGTGCTGCCAATCTTCTTGTAATATTGATATAAATTAAATTGTTCTCGTCACGATAAGGCTGGATATTGCCGATGTGACGTTAAATATTAACTCACTCACTCACTTTATTGCTATAATCACTGCTCTGGTGTTTCGTTAGCTTTGCATTTGTACTGCCAATCTTCTTGTAATATTGATATAAATTAAATTGTTCTCGTCACGATATGGCTGAATATTGCCGATGTGACGTTAAATATTAACTCACTCACTCACTTTATTGCTATAATCACTGCTCTGGTGTTTCGTTAGCTTTGCATTTGTGCTGCCAATCTTCTTGTAATATTGATATAAATTAAATTGTTCTCGTCACGATATGGCTGGATATTGCCGATGTGACGTTAAATATTAACTCACTCACTCACTTTATTGCTATAATCACTGCTCTGGTGTTTCGTTAGCTTTGCATTTGTACTGCCAATCTTCTTGTAATATTGATATAAATTAAATTGTTCTCGTCACGATATGGCTGAATATTGCCGATGTGACGTTAAATATTAACTCACTCACTCACTTTATTGCTATAATCACTGCTCTGGTGTTTCGTTAGCTTTGCATTTGTACTGCCAATCTTCTTTTGCACTGTCATAGTGATATTTTTACAGCGATGTGTATTAATCTGTGAACTTAATTTTAGAATACAATTGTTAATTACAGCACATATCGTTGTTGTGTGTTGGTTTGACACCTAGTGTATTACGGACTGATTCCTGGTTAACGTTTTAGCTTCAACATGGTAATCAACACGTAACGCATTTCAAATAGCATCGCCTTAACAGGAGGTGTTTACACAGGTAGCAGCATCGAGAATCTCCAAAGAGATCAGATCAGGATTAGATAATCTTGTTTGGATTACAGGAATCACGTTCTGGACACCGTTATTCATTGGTTCATCATTTCTAGCCAAGAGGGGGCGGTTGGTTAGCCTAATGGTTAAAGCGTCTTCTAGTCACGCCGAAGACTCGAGTTCGATTCCCCACATGGGTACAATTTGTGAAGCCCATTGCTAGTGGCCCCCGCCGTGATATTGCTGAAATATTGCGAAAAGCGGCGTAAAACCACACTCACTCACGAGCCATAACGTCTATATTGCCTGTAAGATGCGGATATTTTTCATTTCCAACATATTCAAAATAACATGTAATTATATAATATTAATGATTAATACTTGATGAATACATGAAACGGCGTAAAACATAGATGGTAGTCTGCTAAGGTGTATGATACCCATTTATAGCAATTGTACGTGCTTTTACAGTGTGAGGTAGGATAGTGGTTAACGAGTTCTCTCGTCATACCGCTACCCCGGGTGTTACTCCCCACATGTTCACATGCTAAAAGCGGCGCAAAAACACATTCACACTTCATATTCAGTTGGGTATTGAATAATTAATTTTATATGCAAATACATCTTGTTTTATATTTTTAAAAAATACGTTCTATAGTTTTCAAGTATATTTTAAAGATTCAAATTGTGGGTTGTCTACTGTAAGATTATGAATAGGGAATTAACAATTCCTTGACTGTCAAAGACGTCAGTACTGATGAAGTGCCTTTTTATTCCACATTTGTGAAGACTGAAGCTCCTTGATTCGAACATGTCACAGAGACTGAGTGACAGCTTTCTTCTATAGGCCATTTCTTACGCCGGCTAATGTAGACAGGTAAGTTGATGTTGTTTAACAAAGCACACAGCATAATATTCCAGCTATAAGGCGGCGGCCTGTAACCAGACAATTCAGTGATCAACAGCATGAGCATCGATCTACGCAACTGGGATACGATGACATGTATCAACCAAGTCAGCGAGCCTGACCACCTGATCCCGTTACTCGCTTCTTACGAAAAGCATGGGTTTTGTGAAAAAACAATTCTGACCTGAATCTCCACGGGTCAGTTGACAGTGAGCATACATATTTTGTGTTTACAAAGACACATAGAAACAAATATAATTGATGTTTGAAGTACACGGTAGTCTGTGGATGTCACATATCAAACACCGCGGTCTCGTGGCAACAAGAAATTGCGACTTTCCTTTCTGGAGTAAAAAGTATCAGAGACAAGATAGAAGAATATTTATTTAACGTCGGTTATAGGGTTAAAAGAGTATATTAGCTTTTAAGCGCGAGTCATCCGACATAATAGGAAACACTAACACTGACAGTGTAGGTACATCAAATACAATGTGAATGCAACATTGTTAAGTAGATAAATATACCAGAAAAGTTAACAGGGAATATCACTGAGCAGTTGCATACAGGGCTCTTCCAGTTCCACTGAAAACATTTGCAGAATTGTATTTAGATTTATCACTCGGCAGACTATTTCTGATCCAAAAAGAGTCATATCACCTAAACTTTGATGAGCTTTCCAGCGGGATCTCCAAAGTTACTTTCAGCATCAGAAACGTTCGTGTGTTGCATAAATGTTTTACGTTGTGAATCTGGATTTACGAAATGTGTTGACAGTTTGCCTACACACCACAACGATATAACCAATGAATCCTGCGCAATGTCCTCAACTTGCTGTTCTCTCAGAGCCAGACGTTCCTGTCTGTGCTTAACGGCGAGGAAGGGACGTCTGATGGGATGACGTACCCTCAGACTAGCTTCCTGCAGCCCTCTGATGGTACTGGTGAAACGTCGGACTCCCACTCCCCATTGCTGGTGTACTTCTTCTGCATGGGTCATGGCATATCCAGACGAATTAGGCTGCGGCAATTACGGTCATTATCGCCCTCTGTCTTCAAGTCTTGCATGACTTCGTACTTTCTCATGAGTGGACTGAAGTGTCTTTTGAAAAACTCAAATGGTATCTGCACCGTTTCAGAGAATTCAATTTCCGCCGTGACTTGGGTCATTTACTGTGTCCAGCAGATTACTCTTTTTTGTTCATGTGCACACTCCCACTTTGCAAATTATGTATGTATGTTTCTAGCTTTGAAGAATGTGCATCGTGTGCTTGGCGCATCAGTGACCAAACTAGAGACCACTACTGCGTTTCTTAAAGATTTTGTGTGAAAAAGAAATATGGGTAAGACTGTATGACAAGAGGTTAACAACTCTCTATGTTCAAGCAGTCAAAATTCCTTTTCATATCAACAGTTCATTAGTTTTGAGGTTGATCCGAATATTGCCTTTCTGTGAAAATCTCAGATGGAGTCATATGAAGTTGTTTGATTTGATTTAAAACAGTGAATGTCTTAGAAACGAAGATATCAAAAAGCGTCATGCAAAGGTGTTTGATAAGGCTATAAACATGCCATGCCTTTGACCAAGAGGTTTATAGTTGACATGTCGAGGACATAGGACACATTAGAAACAAATATTGCTGGGTGCGGCGTAAAACTAAACTCACTCACTCACTCATTAGACATTCCTATTTGTTTTCAGGTCAACAGTCACTTTAGCTTTGCTTGTGTCTCAGACAATCTTTCAAATCGTGGGAATACATTTATACATCCAGTCTACATAATACGTCAGAATACAGGCTAATCAAACAGAAAACAAACATAAAGAAATCTATGGACTCAAAGGAATCAAATGTAATTAATATTGGATAGCATTCTTTTATATCCATTCTAAATTTTGGAATTAATATTCACTTTGAGTTTGTAATATTGGCCCTGTATCACCAGTTACATCTACGCTGGTAATGTTCTTCTCCTTTATTGTCCCTGCGATCCTCATCGTCGTCATCAAACCACGTGACTTTCTGCAGAAAGCATCTATTACCGATTATTTTAAAAGATTTGCACAGTGTGTCTGATTGCAAACACAGCTGGGCACATTCTGCAGATGTCTTGGAGTTACTGTACTTAAAGTCATGCATAAGGATTCCCTTGTCAACGTGGAGAGTGAACTCGGATCCGAATGATGTGCATTCTGAAACAAAGTTTAGAATATCTGCCTGAGCAGTCGTCATGCAATAACACTTTTTGGACGTTAGTTGGATCTTAACCGAAATTATCAAGTGTTATTCTGGGACAAGCCGAGTAGCGACTCGTGCCCCTTTGGAAGGATTTCGTATTACTAAGAACATAATTATAGAAAAAAACGTCAAAACGACTTCACTGAATTATTACCAGCTGTTCACCTTATATTTCCAAATGTATGTTTCTAAACATAAATTAAAAATCACAAATGGAAACTCACTCACTCTTTCGAAACTATGCATAGTGATATCCTAGGAAATAGAGATTGACGTTTATTAATTAGATAAAGCGACAAAACCTTATGTATAACTATGGTAACCCATTTGTTTAATGCAACATGCAAATGTTAATGAATAGTGCTGCCGTACGAGGATCATAAATGTAGGAAGGTCATTGTTATTGCGTTGATTTACCTGTTAGTCTTCTGCACTCAACGCTAGTCTCATCCATGTCGTATCCGATGGAACATATGCAGACACCACCAGAGCAAGTCCGTCCAGGAGGAACAGCACAGTCGATATCCGTTACACATGTACCGTTATCTGCAAAACACAGAAGTAGATTACAGGTAAAGCACTCCTGAAATTGTTTTTAGGTTCTAAGAATAGAAATCTTCCATATATTTTTCACATTTACAGCGTACGTTCCAATTTCTAATACCCTAAGATCCTATTGGCAGCGTCCAAAAACTGTTGTAACGAAACATAATTACCGCGTTGGTGATATATTATTGCTGCTTCCGCCACACTACTGAACACTACTCTGACACATACATACATGGAGCAGTTGTCATTGTGGCAGCTGAAGTTGAGGTTGGAGCTGATGTAGTCGGTTCGGTAGATGTTGAAGCTGACATGTGAGTTGTTGTCGTGGTAGTGGTTACCGCAGTCGCTGTGAATGTTGGAATTGGAGCTGTCGTCGTGGTAGTAGTCACTTCGAGTGTAGTTGGAGGTGCGGTAGATGTGATTGCCGCAGTCGCTGTGAATGTTGAAATCGGAGCTGTTGTCGTGGAAGTAGTCACTTCAAGTGTAGTTGGAGGTGCGGCAGATGTGGTTGCTGCAGTGGTTGTGGTTGTTGCGGTCTTTGGTGTCATTCTCGCGTCAGTAGTTTGAGGTATGAACGCAGCAACACGTACACATATATGTCCTTTAGCTGTGTTGACGGGGATGCACATGTCATTGGTACTGCATGGCTGATTGTCACATGGATGACCCTACAAATATCCAAATACACTGTATATGGATTACTTTAAATTGAAGAATAGTAAATAATATCTCAGCCCAGGGTTCTGGGTCAATAGTGTTCTCATGTGAAACTCATTATGTATGACGCCCCAGTGACCTTAAAGAGAATGGGAAAAATCCTTAACAATTACCAATGTAAATACTTAGGTTTAATCAAATATGACACAATTTTATTTACTTATTGATGTTTCTTAAGCCCTCGTGTTCATCGTCATCTCTATCGTCATTGCGACCTTGCGTGATAGCAGTTTTCTTACCCTTCTTCCTTTAATTGCCCTAAATGTTTTGTGGAACTTCTTAGAAATGGGTATGGTAATTAGTTATAACTGCTGAGATGTAACTTTGCCATCAATTTGTTTTAACTACTTCACAGAACATGGTTTGTTTTGAAACATGAACAAAAGGAATATAATCAATATTCTCGTTGTTTAATCCATAACAAAGACTTTTCCTTTATAATTGGTATCAATTACAGCAATTCAACAATGCAAACATAAAGTTTTTATCACATGTATCAGGAACGCGTTATTGATTTATTGATATGTCCCAATACAGAAAACGAGATCGAAAAGTCGGGTGAGAAGCAACGCAGTTGGACTGAGATCACCTTAACGAAACATTCAAACATCCAAACATTAGCATTTAGATTTTGTATATAATGTATAACAAATGTCATTGTAACCGAAAAGGAGGTATCTGATAAGACCTTACCAGCAAACAAATCTAGCGGACCTGATGGCATTAACATGAGAGTGTTCAAACGAATTTGTACATCTATAGCTGAACCTCTTTGTTTGTTGTATAATATATCACTGAGTGACTGTATTTCCTACATTGTAAAAAACGGGTAATGTTACTCCTATTTTGAAAGAAGGAAATGCATCCCTCCCAACTAATTACAGACCTATTAGTTTAATATTACCTATCCTTTGGAAAATCCTTGAAAGAATAATGGTAAAGCATGTGCACGACCATTTCCATGATCATAACATTTTAAGTAAATTCCAGTCAGGTTTTACTGCTAGTCATTCTACTACATCTCAACATAGACATTTATCATAACATATGCTCAGTCCTAGATAATCACCACCTTTACTGTATGCTGTTTTGTGATATTTCAAAAGCTTTTTACAGGGCATGGCATAAAGGTTTATTGCACAAATTAGAAAATGATGGTGTTCGTGGAAACGCACTTAGTTGGTTAACTAACTATCTATCTGGTCCCGGTTGTTCAATACTCGGTTATCTTAACCGCCGGTTAACTCCTAACGGCCGGTTAAATCCTTAACCGGCCGTTAGGTAACCGAACGTTAAATATGCGTTGTTCAAAACATGGTTAGTCATGCCGTTAGCTAACGTCGCCGTCAAAGTTTAACAGTGTGGTTAACGTCACTGGTTAGCTTCCATATATCCAATAGTTCCGTTTTCTGTTTACTTCCGGTTTACCAAAAATGGAAACGCATACTGTCGCCTGCACCCCAAGGAAAAAGTGAAGTCGAAATTTCTCTGCTGACGAAAAGAATGTAATCCAGTCAATGGTTGAGGCCAACTCTATAGTTTATCATAGGCATGCGAATGTCGTAGCGTTACGAACGTTTTGTATTAGAACACAAGGTTACAGCCGTTTGCATAATTTTTATTTCAAAGACATATGATTCCAGCTCTGTGTGGGACTTACTTCAATTCCAGCAACAGAAAAAAACATTTTAATGAAAAACTATAACACAGCTATAGATAAAATATGGTGAATCCATGAAAATAATATTAATATTAGAAGCATGTTGTCAGTGGATAGAAAATGTATAAATATTACACACAGAGTTACGCTTAGACGGCTACAGTCTTAATGAATCTTTGAATTCCCACAAGACCCATCGCTCACTTTTCACTCCTTAAATTGTCATGACTGTATGGCCAAGTCGTGAAGATGCTATCAATATGATTTATTAATTATTTGCCAAGTCTGTCAAAAAGTGTAATCTATGAACGCACATTGCCAAATCTTGTAACATCAAACAATATACATGTTGTGTAATTAATACCATAGCTTTTATCTGAAATATGCATTCAATACCAATAGAAACTTAATATGTTACTAGCACCACGTGCAATTAATCAAACTGTAATCGTACTATAGGCCCCAGGGCCAACACTGCTGAATAAAATCGATCTATTATCCGACCTTACTTTTGACAAGAATCTCATGAATAATACTGTGCAAAATCGTCATTATCTGAACGCCTTCACAGACGCATATTCCGGAAAGATGTCTTGAAAAACATGAAACTGCGTCTAATTTATAGATGAACATAATTTCCTCGATACTCATTAATCAGATGAACCTTCATTTAGTTCAATTCACAAGTGACTGCAGAAAATGCATAATTCTTGTTAATGACTTCACGGTCGGAAAACATATATTATATTTCATAAGTGTATTATAGAACGCTGCAACGATTCGGCAGAGAAATACCATTGTGCCATAGTATTCCTTATATGAACCTATCAGTGTATAACATTAGCATTCAGATATTGTTATAAAATAAGTTAAAAATTCCAAACATTATCGTGTAATATGACAAGAGATAGTGTTGTGTTCGCTGTGACCAAAAGGTTTCGATATTCAAATATAACATTTAATCAAAGTGACTACGAAGTAGGCCTGCATATCACTCACAACAGAAATAGATACATAATAATGTTATGTTTATTTTCCTACACATCAGTTGCGAGAGCAATGTTTATGCTAACTAAGTTTTCATCAATTAATACAGCATTTTTAAAAGATGATTTGCTTCAATTAAAACATCGAAGAATGAAAAAGAAATTAGGCCCATTGCTGAAATGATTAGTAAAAATATAATTAAAATCCATCTATGGGAAGGGATGCCAGACGGACATATTAAAACAAAATCGGATAATTACTTGGAGTATAGACTTTCAAAAATAGCATATTAATTAACAATGATATCAGTTTTTAATAAAATCACTAATAATTCTGAAATGTTGCCGATAAGCCTGGAATCGTGTTCAGATGTTTTCCTAAATACACTCACACGAACGCCCAAGTGCACTTTGCGCCCTATTGGATAGTGTTTACAAAATCACGTTTCGAGAAGGCCGGTATTGAAACGCCAGTAACATCACTTGTATTTCATATTCACGAATCACTGCATTCTAAGGCTGGGACGGGTACTCGGGTACTCGAATCCGGGTCGGGTACAGCTGGAATCGAGTCCTATTTCTAGGAATCGAGTATCCGGAAAGGCAGAGAGCTCTGTAATGACAAGGACAGACAATAGCTTGTCTTTTCATTTTTGACGTAACACACATTTACATCATTGAGTGAGTGAGTGAGTGAGTTTAGTTTTACGCCACACTCAGCAATATTCCAGCTATATGGCGGCGGTCTGTAAATAATCGAGTCTGGACGAGACAATCCAGTGATCAACAACATGAGCATCGATGTGCGCAATTGGGAACCGATGACATATGTCAACCAAGTCAGCGAGCCTGACCACCCGATCCCTTTAGTCGCCTCATACGACAAGCATGGGTTACTGACGATCCATATTCTAACCCGGAAATTCACGGGTTTGTACATCATTGGTATTGTCCAATTAATGGAGAATAGTTTTAATGACTGTAATATTATCTGTGCATGAGCAGTGAGTAGTTAAGTTACAGTAGCAGTCGGAACAAAACGTTCGTTGTTATAACGAGGAGTGTAAGTAATGGTGTTACTCTCTATATTGGTTAAACAGACGTAAATTAAATAGCTTGGGGTCAGTTTTAATGTCTTATTACCAACTGTTCAAGTTTTCTACTATAATCTCTGTCAAATCGTGATTGAATATTCAGAAAGTTGACTCGAATGTATTTCTTACATTTCCGGGGACTCGATTCCGATTCGGGTACGAACATGCGGGTACTCGATTCCATTGTTTCCTCCTGAGAGGGTATGTAAGTCCCAAAACTTCAAAAGTAGAATTTTCACATACCAAGTTTTTAAACGTAGTATTTTCGTTCATTTAGATTTTGGCTAAATTATCCTACAATCACCAGCGGTTGAAGGGATTAGAATCTAAGGGTCCATGCAGGTAGGTCTTAAGTCCCCATGGACCCTAGTATGGTGTTTCACTTTCAATCTATAGCCCATTTTATATTGTGATGTCCCCTGTGGTTAAAATGTTTTAGAATTACTAGTTTTATCTGTATATGTGATATTCTAGGTTTTACTGCCCTTCGTTGGCAGTTTTTAACATATTTTTCACTTCAATATCAAATGTTCTCGATATGGCTGAAATATTGCCGATGTGACGTTAAATATTAACTCACTCACTCACTCATTGTTTGAAATTCCTCATAATTTTAGAATCAATTACAACTGAACCAATACCAAGTGTCTAGATAAAGTGACTTTAAACACTGTGTGCTCGAAAGACATTTTGAAATGTAAACAAAGAAAATTTCAGACTTTACACTGTGTAGCATTTTCTCAAATTTTTCAGACACCCATTTGCATTGAAAGAGCATAGTAGCAAGAAATAGGAAATTAAAAATAGATACAATACAGGAATGTGATGTGTTT